AAAGTGGGTTTTGGAGTAAGCTGTCCAAATAGTTAAAAGGGAACTAAAGATGAATAGGGGCACTTTCTGAAAATACCCAATAGGGATGACTCATACTTATTTATCCTCTAATCCTCTCTCTCTCTCTCTCTCTCTCTCTACATATACATATTAAAAAAATAAAAATAACTTCAAAGTGCACATCATCAGTATCTGAATGAACTCTTTTGTAGAAACAATGTGATCTCATCAGTAAACTGACCCCAAATGAACCGGAGGTTTACACACGCTCTTGTAAAATAAACAAGCTCTGTTTTCTCTGAATGGAGATCTCACTCTTTGATATTATGAATCTTTTTGAGCTTTGGTGTCATGTCACCAAAAAGCTAGAAAAGTATTACACCTGATGTCAGAATTTCTTTTATCTGACCCGAGTTACTCCAGACTAGATCTGTTCCATCTCCATTCAATTTCTAAGGAGCATATCAATCGTAAAATGCAAACTCTACCTTTGGTTTACTCTGCTTCTTCAGGGGATCTGTGGCGTGGAGCCAGGGCTCGGATACGATGGCGTGTCCTACACCCTCTCCATCCTTTGCTTGGCGCACATGCTGGTCCTTGGGTTCAACAACCGGGACACCCTGCTGGCCTGGGATGCCCGCATCCGCTACAGCTTGGGAGAAGGTGAGTGGTTTGGCCTCGTGTAGGTGTAGCATTCTCTAAGTAGAATAGTAGCTCTAGTAGTTGTAGTTATTGTCTTGTGACTGCTCATAAGAGTATTTTCCTTGATCTCTGTTGATCTGACCAGGAGCTTACTTTTTAATAAAAAATGTGTGGAGAGGCAGAAATTTCAGCAGATTCTACAGACTTAATTGACTTATTGTCATTATTCACTGTTCAAATACTCCTTTTTAAAAAATTTAGAGCATTGTATTCTTACTTATCTACTGAATTTCTCACACTGCAAACAGTAAACCTTGAAAGTGATCCTCTGTGTGTAAACTTGTGTAAATACATCCCAATTTCCTTGTTATAAGGGATATTGAAAAGTAAAGCAATGATAGAAATATATCACCGGTGCAGTTTAAAAGGAAAACAAAAACTATTCCAGCCGAACATTTCAAACAGCCATAAATACGAGTGTTTAATCTATTATCTATCTATTATTTAAAACTCTCAGTTATATCTTAGTAGTCGGCCTAAATCGTCCCGCTGAGAACTTTCAGAAACACTCTGCTCCTGTCCAATGTTTCTCCTTAACTAGTCTTATTAACCATCACCAATATTGGTGCCTTATTGAAATAGCTCGTGTCTACTTTTGAACAGCCATGCTGTGAGATGAACTGATATTTCTTTTGAGCAGCACCAGCTGGTCCTATCACTGCTTATATTTCTAAACATTTCTCTGAACACACAATTCATCCTCCTCCTCCTAAAATATCACCTTCAGGATATTTACAAATGTCCATCTTGTTCCTTAATGTTATTATCCACAATCATTCTGATCCTCTGTGTAGAAGTCACACAGTGTTATCTACCTTTGAAATCCACAAATGGCCGGGTTCTTGATTTGCCTTTGAGGTTGTAATGTCACAGAGCTTTTTTTTTTTTGCCAGTCTAAGTATTAAGATTAAATCTTAGAAATATTTTGGGTTAACATCACTCAATAAAACTGAGCACTTTTGTTTTATGGAAGCTATCTCACCTCAATTTACACTGCTGTTTAAGCTGCCAGTTTTTTAAAATTATTATCTTTATTATTTTGCTTTTACCTGTAAATCCCCTTCTGTTTCACATTATTTCGTCATTGGAGTATTTCGCTCCTCTCAGAGCCTCAAAGCCTGCTCGTTGCTCTAGCTCTTCGCTCAGGGCGACAAAGTGAGCTTGATCTATTACGTCTTTACATAATGTTTCTTTGAAAGTGTTTTTATCGATTTTTAGATGATTTATTTCGTGCTTACTCACCTACACTGTGAAGGATAATTCCTATCATTTACTTGGCTCTTTCACTCCCATGCTTGTACTCTGTATGTGGCACTGTGCAGTACATGGCTTTGAGAGGGAGAGACAGTCCTTGGCACCGCACTGGGGCCATCTGCACAAACTGGGCAATGACAAATTGCAGCCTGCCAGGCTTAAAAAACTGCTCAATCATTATTGCCACAGTCATCAGTTACGTGGTGCATATGTGTTTATGCACGTGTGTGTTTTTATGCTCCGCCTCATGTGTTACGTGATGGATGTGCTGCACGATCAGTGGCACTTTAGTTGTCTGCAGCCTAAGTGATTCGAAGCCATCATGATTGCATGGCCATGAAACGCTCTTTTCAAACGTCTGTCTTTCTTCTCCCTGCCAGTCCACAGGTTTAGCGTCAACGTTGAGCCAGGTACTAAACTGGAAAGCGGTCCTGCATCACTCCACCTGTGCAACAACTTGCTGGTCCTCACCAGAGGCCTCCCTCCCGTCGTCGTTGGCCACTGGAAGTTGTCGGCGTTACGTCGCTACGGTGCTGTGCCAAATGGCTTCGTGTTCGAGGGAGGGACTCGGTGTGGATACTGTAAGTATCTGCTGGACTGAGAAGCTTTAATTTATTTAGCCCTACAGCCTGCACCCAGAAATGAAACACTCTATTACCAAGTGAAAAATCATCACTCGCAGTGCCCTACTACATCACGTCCTTTGATGTTATTATTTGTTATGTTTTAGTGGATGATGTCAGATCAGAGATTACAAAACTTCAATGTGATGTCAGTCCCTCAGAATCAAAGACCTTTATATGTTCCGTTAGGTGAAATCTGACATTGTCGACACATAGACATGAAAGGGCTTGTACGTTGACAAAACAGGCCCACATTTATAAAGTGTTCTGGAGCTTTTGATCATGTTACTTGACCTTCCTCAGCAGATGAAACTTCCCCTTTTGTCATGAAATTACAGATGTTTTTCTTATTTTCTCTTGACGTATTAGCCTAAGCTGAAAAGTTCAAGCTCCAAAAGAACTACTAAATGAATTGACAGTCCATTTAATAAGTTTTTTAAAATTTTTAAATATATAAAAAAAAAGGTGTGAGCTCGAATGACCACAGAGAAAACTGTGCCTGGTTAATCACAGATTGTGCTCGTCCTCTAGAGACAACCCGAGTATATTCACGGAAATTCAAGGTCTCACTCACTCAAGTGGAAATTGCACACTGAAGGACGCAACAGAAGAAAGGCACCGCCCGTGAGAATGCATTCAGCCACCAAAGACAGATGTTCATCTTAACAATACTTGAAGCTCAACTTTAAAATCTAACCAACCGTTCTTTAGTTAATTCTTTGGTCCAGAAACAGTTGATAGAGTGCACAATCACAGCAGCAGTTCCACTTTTAAAAAGGTCTTTACTTAGGTTAATATAACCTCCTTTAAAGTTTGCTTCAGTGCTCACGGGTTAATAGAGCTGTCACACTAACGCTAACACACCTTTGCAAAAAGGTGATTTATTATAAGCGTTTATAGCGTAACTATATCCACTTTCTATGTATGAACCCTCCGCACTGCCCACCTGCCCACCAAATAATGGCATGTATGTGTGTGTTTGTGTTGTTGCCAGGGTTTAGATATCCTCTGAATGTCCGGCTCATGTGGGCATGAATGTAAAGAATGACTGGCAGCTTTATGTTTTTAGGTGGGATGTGTGTGTGTGTGTGAATTAGAGAGGGAGGGCAGATACATGGACAAAGGTGATAATGGAACCTGTTTGAAGTTTTCAAGTTGCTGTCACCCAGGTATCTGGAAATACAAGATTTAATTTTTATTTAGTTAGAACTCTTTGTCCTTGTATGCTGCTTTGCGATTGTCTGTGTTTTTGAGTGTGTGTGTGTACGAAAATAACCACAAGGTCTGGTTTCAGTGTTCTGATGAGCAACATCTATAAATACCAGTCACTCCCCTGTAGTGGACACTCAGCCAGTCACAAATTCCCTGGTGGCTGCATGTCCAATCATAGTTTTCCCCTTCATCTGATCTGCATATTACCCAGCAGTCACAGGGGCAGTAGGAAGAGACTCT